CTGGCTGTCTGGCTGTCTGGCTGTCTGGCTGTCTGGCTGTCTGGCTGTCTGTCTGTCTGTCTGTCTGTCTCTCTCTCTCTCTCTATACCCTATTTATTCAAATGAAGTTCAAGACGACGCCAAAATGGTCCCGCAGAGGAAGGCATTCTCTTTATTTCTCTTTCCAGGCTTGGATGTACGAGTTTGAACTGTCCAATTGAACGGACCGTGCCCTTCTAAAAACAGTTCTGGAAGTGCACCGAGAGAGGGCTCTTGAGAACTCCTCTCCGAGCTCACCCCCACCATGAGTCTCACCATGTTGTGATCACGATGCCCTGCAAAATCGGAGACGAACATGGGACTGGAAGTGTTCAGGATGCATGATATATATATATATAGGTATAGGTATAGGTCTCATGACAATTCCGAACCCCAATCCATTCACACTTCCAAACCACCGACATCGAGGGGCGATCCGGGGAAAAACTTCTTCACCGGAAAAGATATCGCTCCGGTGAAGCTGTGCAGGGCTTTTGAGCTGCGAGGAGCTGCGAGGTTTTCTCCTCCGCTGCAAGCGGTTAAAACGTGCGCCGATGCCGAGGCTGGCACGATGCTGTTCTTGGTCTTCTCATTGACGTCCAAGGGGGTGGCAGAATCGGATCGCATCATCGACTACGCCTTTGCGTGCCTTGGTGAGGTGTTTGGCTTGGCGTGGTTGAAGGTGTTGGCTTGGCGTTTTGGCGGTGTCGAATCCACCAATTCTTGGTGCATGGGGTGCCGCGGTGCAGCCTGACTTCGTGTCGTGAGATGCACGGCTTGCGACCTTTTCAGGGCCTCTGATGCGGTTATCCTTCACCAGACTCGAATTGGTGACGCCCCCTATTCCCAGACTCGAAGATCTCAATGAAGGGGAGCATTTCGGAGGGAGCATACATATAGAACCGTCTATCTCACCGTGTCGTCGTCATCTTTTCGTCGCTTTCCTTTCGGGTTGTATTCGCCCGGGGCATGGGAGGTATTTCAATGCCATCAAGTCCCATGGCGTGGACCAGGCCTTGATTCAGATGCTTGGCGACCTGTCGGCCCGTGCGACCGATTCACGTCGCGTTGCGTCCCGTCGACCGACGACGCGCGTCGTCTTCGTTTTTTTCTCCCGGATTTCAAAGGAAGCAGGGCAGCAAGAGTGGAGCAACCGTTGTCCACAGGGATGATGGTGGATATTTTTCTGCCTGGCTCCTTCCCATGGTTGGCTGTTTTGGTTGTTTGTTTTCAATGGGAAGATGGTACTGGTTTGAAGAGGTGCTGTTTTCTCGAGAGGGTTTCATCATGTTTCATCTGTTGGACACTGGACGGGCTGACCGAGTGGAAGACTTGAAGAGGCGTTTCATGCAACCGAGGAAGATGCAGTCCTTGAACCAAGTGATGTTCGACTACCAGGCAGGAACTCCGAAGTCGGACTCGCCAGAACAAAAGCATGGGACGTCAAAGTCGGAACTAGGAGTTCAAATTCCAAGAAATTCTGCGCACTGCACACCCCTTCTCCCAGCTCTGATTTCCAGCAGGTTAGATAGTCCATGGTTCTCACTTCGTGTGCTGCGCGGCAGCGCGGGGCTTCCCCCCCCACCCACCTTCTCTCAACCGCCTGCTCCCGGTGGAACGCTGACCAGGAGCGCTCCACCTCCGACTCGAGCGTGGTGACGGGCTTGGCGGGGGCCTTGCCCAAGGTGGCGCCAGAGGACGTGCTCACAGGCAGGGCCAGGGGGTAAAGGTGTGGGTAGACGCGTGCCAGAGGAGCCCTGTTTTGAGAGGATGTGACCACCTATTTTTTGCGTTGGTGGTCCGCAGGTCACTCAGGTTCGTATGTGTGGGTTTGCTGCGGTTGGAAGTCAGTCTCACGGCCGAACAACGGGACCAGCTCCATGTGATGTTAGAGAGGCCTACAGCTGATACCAGTGAAGAAACCAAGAGACGCAAGACTGAAGTTCCTGAGACCAAACAGTCTTGCGGGTAACACCTTGACCCAGCTTCATGATGAGAGTTTCCCTCTGACTCCACCATTGGAGGCAGTTTTGAATGCCGCCCTCCCTGAAACATGATGTTTGAAGAGGAACATGGTCACGCATTTGCATTTGCCGTGCAAGAGACTGCGGCGAGCATTCAGCTCCCCACCTCCTCCTCGATCTCTCAATGAGGCGGTGCTCTCATCGATGAAGTGAACCTCTCGTTGACCCGGGCCCTTTTGGACGCGGTGCACCCACGGAACATGAACGTGGCCTGGTCCGTGGGATCGGCCGATGAACGAGCCCAACCTGGGCACCTGCGCCACGACCGGTGACTTGGTCTGCACGAGATGGAGGGTGGGTGCCTGAAGCTAGAGGGTGCCTGGGATTGCGGAATGCGATTGAAGAGAACATCCCGCCGCATGGAGATGGTATGGGGATTCGCCTGGCTTTTAGGACATGATCCCACTCTTGCATGTTGTCTTCATACCATGTTCCAGGCGCTTTCAACATCTCACAGTTGTTTTCAAAGGCATTGGAGCACCGTTCGAAGGAAAGTGTACCGCCCTGAGTGCCGTCCCAAGGCCGTCCCAAGGCCGTCCCAAGGCCTGTAACATGTCTGTTTGCACCAGGTATTATGACTTCAACTACACGGAGGAGCCCTTAAAAGAGGAGCTCCTACAGCTTTGGGAAAGGGCCCAGGGCTTCGGATTGGACGCTCGGCGGTTCAAAACAACAGGCAGAGTGGGAGGACAGGACGGTTTTGCTTGGCAGTTTTCTTTATTTCTGTTCGTTTTTGTGGGGGGTAGGTGAAGTGTGAGTGGGTAGCCTGGCTTAGAGATGGCTAGGAACAAGGCACGGAAGATGCTTCACTTAGGAACATCCACCCAGCCCTGCCTACGTGCCAGAGAAGTTGGAGCTCATTAAGGACGCCTGAGGCTGATGGTCACAGTCAAGCTTTGAGAACCACATTTTGGCACAAAAAAAGCACAAAAAAAACACCGACGAGATGCATCTTTGGGAACCACATGCTCAATATGGTGAAAACCGGTGCAGCAAAGCTGTCGTGATCCATCCGCCAGAGCCCACGAACGCCGTGTTTTCGCAGGAGCAGAGGCCAACGAGGACCAGTCCGGAGAAGCTGGAGGCTGGGGATGGGAAAGAACCCTCCGTCACCCAGAAGAAGTGCTGTTGTGGTGAGCTCCTGCCAGATGCAGGAGCCCCCAATAGGCTGTTCCACCAATCATCAGCCCCTTTTTTGGGACCCCAAATGAAAACCTTTTCAGACACACTGCCAGAGCCTTCAGAGCCTGCGGTGTATGTGTGGATCGGTCGAGCCTTTTGATCCATGAACAGAATTGTCACCACCATCAGAGGGTTGATCTACCAAAGAACCTCACCCACACATTTGGACCAATTTCCTGAGTTGCTCCCAGCTGTTGAGTCACTGGAGGATGCGCCAAATACCGCCTGTGCCAGGAGGCTCAAGGTCTGCAACTTTGGTGGTTGGGCTTGGGAGGCTTCAAAGTACCCAAGGCTGGGCCAAGGACAAAGAGTTCTTCAGACTTGATCATTCGCTTGTTAAAATGGAAGACCTCACCCTGGGCACCCCTAAGGGGTGTCGAGTCTAATAGCTCCGAAAAGAGGTGGGGTGTCCATTGACCCCTTACAGGGCGCTGGACTGAGACCATCGGAAAGAGTCCAATTTCCAGAGCGTGGTGCCAAGGCGCCGAGGGGTTGGTGACTGCAGTCGTACTCCGCGCATGGAGGGATGCCTGCTTGCTGCAGTGAGCAAGCAGGGGATGCAGTGAGCGCTACAACGGAAGTGACCTCATGTTTTCCTCAGGGGCCGCTCCCTCTTTGGGGTGTTGACATCCTGACATCCTCAGCTAGGCCCAGGTGCAAATGAAGTTGAAGTTTCCGCGCGCGGTGCTGAGCAGCCCGGCGCGCGCCGTGTTGGGCGCCCTGCATGTGCGGCTGGTGAATATGGCGCCTTTCCTTGAGAACACGGCGGGGGGGAAGGGCATTGGATTCCGCCGCATATCGACATACCTTTCGGAGGGGCTTGGTGTCCCTTGTTTTCGCTCACGCCCCCCCTAACGACCCCGGAGAATTCCACATTTTTACAATTCGCCAAGTTGATGCTACGTTGGGTATGGGGTGGGGTGGGGCTGGGGTGGGGTGGGATGGGGTCGGGTGGGGTTTGTTAAAGTTCGCTTGCACTTGCAAACCAAGTGGACGCTACCAAGTTGATGCTACCAAGTTGATACTACGTTGGGGATGGGGGGGGGGGGGGGGGGGGGTGGGGTCTGTTAAAGTTCGCCTGAAAAGCTGAAAGAGTGGATGTGTGCTAATGTTAGTTAATGAAACAACAGAAAACATAAAATACACGTTTTTTGACTTTCAGGTCCCCGAACGAACTGTCAATTCACAATGAAATTACGATTTGAGAGGCGTGATGTGGTGTAAAAACACATACAAAATGACACTGAGCTAAAACAGGCATCGCCATAAAGTGCCAGAGGGGTGGTGAAAAACGACTCGAAGCTGCATGTGAAACGTACAAATCGCGCGGGGCCATTGCAGCGGGCGTGACCTTGTTTTCGATGGCCTTGCCGAGGCTTTGGAGGAACCTTCCGATGCCTTCCAGATGTGCGGGGTGAGCTACAGCCTTTCCAGCGGCTCCAATGGCGGCCTGCTCGCACTTCAGCACTTTATCGTTCTGTCCCTTTTTTTCCGTTATCCAACTAAGGGGATTCTTATTCAGAGAGTTGCTGACCTACCCGTTCCGGGGGCTCCCATTTTGTAACCTTTGTCTCACCAAGAACGCTCCGGAGTTGGGCCCCACCAGCTCGGGGGGGGGGCCTCTAGACGCCTTTTGGGGAGACGGACGGGACGATAGGAATGACGCCCAAGAAGAGGCATGTGGCAATTGAGACGTTCTTGTTTGTTCAGGTGGTCGATGGACGTCGCCAGGGCTGAGCACCGGGAGATGGGCTGAGCACCGGGTGGGCCTCTCTCCGAAAAACCTGATTTCCATTGATTTCCTCTTTAAAACCTGGGTCCGTGGGTTTATGTTGCAGTGGCACACAGCACGTGGCCCACCGTGTCCGTCCAGCCTACTTTTCGAGGTCTAAGCCTCACCTTCTCTGGTTTCAACGAGCATCTCCTTGCCCTGGCCCGCCTGGTGCTGCCGCGCCTCTCCCGCGCCGCCGACAGCGCTGCCTTCGAGATGGCGCGACGGCAGCTGATCCTGGAGTTGCAGGATGTCACCAGCCAGCAGCCGCCGCTTGCTCACGCAAAGTCCGTGCCGAGGGCGTAGGTTGCTGTTTCCCTCGTGCGAATCGGTGAGAAGAGGATGGCACTAGCACATTGGGTGACTCGATGGGACCTGGACGTTGGAAAGGGACACACTGGAAGGTCAAATTCTGTTCTGGTGAGCCAGTCAACTTCTTGGCACTTTCTCGCTCACAATCACGAAAGTCAAAACCTAGTGGTTTGGCTGGCCAAATCCCCAGGTACCCTCCCAAGTCTCCAGCTGGCTAAGGGTTTGCAGGACTCAGCTCAGGTATCAGCACGCGCTTGAAGCCCTGGAGGTGGTGACCGTCCAGCACACCTTCTCCCGGGACACCATGTTGCGAGCGGCGCAGGATGCAGCTCGGTGTCCTTTGCCGTCCGTGGCCGGGGGGCAGCTGCCAGTGCCTGGTGGTGACAATTTGACAATAGGCCCTTGAAGACGCTGGCAGTCCACAAGAACACGGGTACCTTATGAAAAATCAGTGGTTGCACCGCGAAAGCATCGTAAGTTCAAATCGGGATTCTTCGACACGGTTAGGGCACCACAGCCTCTGGCGCCTCTGCACCTCAGTGTTTGGAACTGATGAACGTGTTCTTTTTCACCAGTTCATTCTGCTGGGGGCTCACTTGCCCCAGAACAACGAGCGGTCAGTCAGTCGATCAACAGCCCTGAGCGAGTCGAACCAAACTGCTTTCGATGCCCCCGACGTTTGAATGGCCTCGTTGGTTTCGGAAGGTCGGAACGTTGGGAACGTACGCTTCGTTTGGCGCGGCGCCACTTCACGCCGTCGGTGGGGTTTGTTTGTTCGTTCATGGCGTGTCGTTTGACACTTTGATCACTGTCTCTCGCGCTCTCTCTTTATGTATGGTATATTATATATATATTATATAACAGCCTAAATACGTGGTATCCGGTAACCTCTCCAACAAACTGTGCAGTAGTGAAGTGGAGAAGCGGAAGCAGAGCCGTTGGTACAGTATCGTTGGTCTTCGGAAGATCGCCTTCCGTTTGTTTGTGATTTGGGATGTCGAACACCCCTCAGAATTGGCGCAAGTCTGTTCTGGCCCACCACCACCATACCACTAGTACTATCATTAGTACACTTTGGGTTGCGGGGGCACCAAGAATCTCCAGAAGACCTTCCCGTGACATCCCGTGACCACTTGCCAACATCACCGCTTGGAAACCGCCCTTCGCTACGGCTGTATTCTGCGCGTCGCGTGGATTTGAGGAGTGGGCGGTGAGCCCGACGGAGCATGAGGCGATGCTGGATGAAATGTTTGCAGAACCTGAGCTTCTGGTGCTGGTCACTGGAAACATCGACCAAGCTCAAGCGAGCCGTGGCAGGTCGTGGCTTCCAGCTGGAGCTGGCGAGCCGCGGGTGGGAACAGACTCATCGAGTACGGGGGGTTCACTGAAGGAAAACCGTCCGGTGGAAGTGGAAGCTGAGCAGACCCACTTTGTTGAGGAAAATGGGTCAAAGCCGGGTAAAACCATTCTGGTCGTGGAGGCTTCCGAATTAACATCTACAGTATTCTACTGACCATATTTTCCTGTGAAGCACCTCTGTCAAACTTCCCATGATTGTTTGAAGCAGAGATTGCCGGGCTGGGCCCCCGTGGTGAATGGGCAAAGGAAACTGGTCCAACACCCTGTAGCTTCCCAGGGTCTTCGCGCCCTGCTCGATCACGAGACCGTAGGTTCGTCACACCCTGAAACCGATTGGTAGCATATAGACTATATCTATAGACGTACAATGATGAACAGTGTGCTTCCTCCAGAAAAGAACATCGCCGTTTGTCTGTGGCCTCCTTTGACGGATCATCTCAGACCGAGCACCACTCCAATAGCCCCGGTCTTTGCCATCGCCCCGCGTGGCACTTCTTGCGCCGTCATCAAAAGCCCATGGCGCTGCGCCGCTTCAACGCCGGTGGAAAGAAGCAGAAGGAGCTCACGGATGCTTGGCACAGAGCTCCTGGATGCTGGGACCATGGTTGAAAGGCGACTTCACCCCACAAGCCACCCCTTTTCACAGTCCATATGAGCCAGACTGGGCCCTAAAGGTGATGAACAAATGGATGCATGACGATACACCTACTGTACTCAGATTTCATAGAGGCTGGCTAAAGACAGGCAAAGAGCAACCACTTGAATCGCCGATTCGGCGATTGCCATCGTCAACATTTGAAGTGCCGGAAGTCTGAGTTCCCTTTGGGAAGGCCAATATATATATATATATATACACCAGGACCCTCCGACAGGTCACCAATTGAGACCTGTTAGGGTCCAACAACCCTCAACTAACAGCCTGTTGGAGGGTGCTGGTATATATTGTTTGTCTGAGAAGGCCAGTCAAACTTTTCGATGGAATTTGCGAGATGAACATTCCCTGAACCCAATGCCCGGCCAGCGGCTGTTGAGTGGTTGGACCATCATATCCCGCGTTACGGTACAGCTTGTCGCAACCCCTGGGGAGGGTTTTAGGAGCGCACAGGGGGTGATTGGTGCACTCCTGAACCAACATGATATGAGCGGAGCATGTAGCTGGCAACTTGTAACAACCTCCCAAGATATATAAGCATAGCATAGCATATCTTATCGTGGGCCGAAGTCCAAGGCGATCGTTGTCGATCTTCACGGATCCCAAGGACGAGCAAAAGCAAGAGATCAAAGAAGCCTTTGACCTCTTCGATACCGATGGCTCAGGCAGTTCGGGACTGGGGCAAGCTTGGGCGGCGGCACGGGAGGAACTTCTCCGGAAGTGCATTTCCCTCCAAGACTGCGGGGAACAAGCAGAACAGGCATCATGTGGTGAACTATTTCTGCAGGTTCTGCAGATTCCGAGATGAACCTGCAGCAGCTGGACAAATTTACACAGTCTGGGGAAGAAAGGGGATTTGGCCTTTGTTTGAGGAATGGTTATGAGTTATGAATGGTTGGTTTTTGCAACCCACAGGGCGAATCGCTCGGAAGGGCTCCGCCAGCGGCCTGCATTTTTGCCTTTTCAATCCTCTGAAAGAAGGGCTCCGCCAGCGGCCTGCGTTGTCACCTCACCCATCCCAGTTCATGATCAGAGAACGTCCGATTCTGTTCAGACCTCTCCAGACGTCTTGCACCGAGCCTGGTCGGCAGGGAGGACCGAGAGGTCCTCCAGACCTCCCCCTTTTGGGGTCGACCTGTTCACACTCCCGCGTCGCGAGCCGCGGCTCGCTCGCCGCGGCGAGCAGCGGGCCGCGGACGGGCTACCTGTGAGGTGAGATTGATTCCAAGGAGCTGAAGGTGGCGATGCGGGCCCTGGGCTTCGAGCCGAAGAAGGAGGAGCCCGGAGCCGTGTGATGTGGGGCTTTCACTGGGCGAGGGGTGTGTCTATTTTTTCGGGGCACCAACCAATGGTTTTGGTTGATGTGGTGAGGAGGCTTGGAGAGATTTGGTGGGAGAGAGGCAGGTGACCAATCCATGAATATCATGGATGATGTGGACTGAGGTCATTGTCCCTACTTTGGGTGCAGAGTTTCTGCTTCTTACTTGGGGACTTAGTGCACCTGGGACGCTAGCCTCCAGCCCAGGAGATTCAGAAGATGATCAGCGATGTGGACGATGATGGCTCGGGCACGATTGGCTATGAAGAGTTCCTGCCGCTGGGCGCAGGTCGAAACACTTCGCTTCCTGCGATCCCTCGCCTCCTTGAGTGATCAAGACACCAGGGGCCAAAGAAGACAGCGGCCCTCCCCTTTTGGAAGAGGAATCTCTTGCTAGAACGGGTCATGCTCCATGGCAGTTTTGATGCAGATTCTATCACGAGTTTGGAAGCGGTTGCGTTGCACGGTTCGGGATGTGGGGATTCTTTGATGTCGCTCTTGAGTGAGGAAGATGATGACCCACAAGATCTTGAACCGTGATCCCAAGGACAGAGAGTGGGGAGCATGTCTCGGAGTGGTTCTAGGGTGGGGGGACAAATGTATGGGGATGTGCTGCATGGCCGGACCTGCCACATGCATACGTTCATATCCACTTGGGCATGTGCACAGACACAGCCACACACACACACACACACACACACGTGCCTGAGAAATGATCGAATCTTTGACATGCAGAAAGCCCGAGGGTGGCCCACGTCCGAGCGAAGGTCGGGATCCACCACAGCAACCGCCCCCAAGCACCGAACCCCAGCATCTGGGGACAGAGCCTGCCTTGGGGCTGGATGCCGGATCCTCTCGAGGGTCCCTCGGGACAGCAGCGTGGCGGATCTTTCTTGCGCCCGGATGAACGGGATTTTGCGGTGCTGATGCTGTCGACAAGGCGACCGGCGACGAGCCGCTAGGCGACCGGCGATTGCCGGGACTGGCGGCAGTTGCTCAGGGCTGCTGCCGAGTCATTAGAGGTGTCTCAATGTTCTACTTTAAAGGCCGGGCTCCCTCTACCTCCTCCGTTTCCACCGAAAGCTGGAACGGCGGCATGCCTGTTTCGAGGTCCGCTGCTTTCATGTCTTTGTGGCTCGCAATTGTATGCCTTCCGCGCTTTCGGGTTGGATAAGGTTGAATTGCCATCCGACAATGCATCGAAACAGGCACATGGGGATTTTGCCCTACCAGCTTGCACCATTTGTAGGCTTGTCAAACGAGATTGCTCAAAGTATCCTTGACATCATGCTTGGAAGTATGTCGCCGCGTAGGCACCACTGGTGGTTGCTTGTTTGTTGTTGGTATGGTCAAGCAACAAAATTGAATGCTTTGGCCGAGCCTCTCACTACAAACTAGTCACTAGTCGCCACTATGACGAAACTCAAGCTTCAGCCAGGATGAGATCTTGAAGGCCTTCCGCTTGTTTGATGATGATGAGACGGGCAAGATTTCCTTCAAGACTCTCCGCGCAATATGGCACCAACGAGTTGGTCACGAACATGGCAACACCGACCCTCTCGGAGTCACTGGTGGAAGCCCCACCCACCGGTGGGACGGTATTTGCAGCATTTCGGGCCGCCTCCGGTCCAGTGGAGTGGAGCCAGCCAAGAAAACCTGAGAGAATCGCTCGCACAGGTCAACCATTCAACCACTGCAGGTCAACCATTCAACCTGAACCCCCACACCCCAAGCTTCACCCTCCTTAGGTGCACGACCCTGAAGCCCCTTTGCTTCGCAAGACAAAGGCAACTAAACCTCCTGCAGGTGTCCTCAGCAGATCGGATGATAGGCAAGCCTTCAAAAAGATCTCCCACTTCTATGGACCGAATTACAACCCGAATGACCTCTATTTTGGACCGCTAACCACCCAAACTAGGGTCTTTTCCTATCAAAACGGAGGTCATGCTGCAGGCACACCAAAACATACCAAAACCCCCATGGTCTGAGTTTGGTGGCTCCGGGTGCCCGAAACCTGGTGGCGCCGTCCTGCTACCTGGGGCCCTCAGGAACCTGAAGCGCGTGGCCAAGGAGTTGGGCGAGCGCATGACGGACGAAGAGCTTCAAGAGATGATTCTCGGCGCCGCTTCCGCTTCCGCGCGACATGTTGGTCTGTGAGCAGCGACGCCGGTCGCAGATCGCGACTTCCGACATGAGGAGTTGCATGCCCCAAAAGGATCCAAAAGGTTGAACCCAGAGATTTGGGGAGTCCGACGTTGGTGTGTTTTTGTTTTCCTCTTCCGTGACCCACTGGTTGGTGGCTGCCAGGCTGCCAGGGTTTGGAAGATCAAGTCGCTGGATCCTAGGGAAGGCTCTCATGGATGGACTTTCAGGTTTGTCCCCAAAGCTTCAGATCAGCGAGCTGCCTGGGATGATGTTTGTCTGGGATGAAGTTTTGATGCCTGGACCTGGAGTCACCTGACAAAAATCAGGAAGTCACCAGCCCCCAAACATGGGTGGTGATGGATCGACCTGGTCTCCCTCAACGGTTGTCCCTGGTGCACGTACTTGTGCACTCCCTCTACTGTGGGGGACACGACGGGGTGACACGGGATCCCTCGCTCATCCAGGATCGATGAAGCCGACCGTGATGGAGATGGTCCTTTGACAAGACGAACCGACCGGCGGACGGGGCGAGACGAAGAAGGCGAGTTCCTACCAGGATTTGAAGCTTCCCCCGGGCGGCGCCGGGTTTTGGACACCGGTCGCGGATGCGACCTGCGTAAAAAAGACACTGACCTCAGAGGTTTCACTGACCTAAGAGCTTTCTTTTCCATAGCCCGAGCCCGGTTTCGTCTTCACAAGACGCCTTCACATGTGAGAGTGGGCAGTGGGTGCCTAGAACATCTTACTTTTAGGAGCTTCCTCTACCAGGACGAGTCCAGAAACCTTCGGCACCGTCGGGCGTCGCTACGACGCGACCGGTTCCACCGGGGTGCGCGGGTCGCTCACCAAGGTGAAGTGAATGAGGAGGAATTCCTTCGCATCATGAAGAAGACGAACCTCTTCTGAGCTGCATGTCGCCTTCTGTAGCATACGCCACGCAAAGGCTGGCAGAGCTGTAATATACACCTTTGCCCGGACCAACTGTGAGTTCCGGGATGAGCAGTGCGATTGACCTGGCACGCGCCCTTTGAAGGTTTGACGAGAAAAGAGCCATTCGCGCGCCTAGTTGGGGGATTGGCCTGGGCCAAGCTTTTTCTTTTTGGCACCTGCACCGTCAAGATCTTCTTAGCCTTTGCGACTCAACCCAGACCTTGGCCCGGGAACAGCCACACTGCTGGCTGAGTGCAATGGACCCGGCCCTCCTTTCGCCAGGCGACCCGTACCCATTGTGACATGTCTTTAGTCATCCAGGCGTCCTCAAGTAGATACTTCCCTGTGATTTGATTTGCCCCCAGCAGCGCAGCAGCGACATCAAAAGTCTGGAACTCCGCAAGCAAAATCCCTTAGAAAAAGCGTCTCTGTGTGGATCCTGCCTGGGTGCACCATGCACCGGCACAACAAGGGCCGATTGGAAGACGGGAATCATATGGTTTGGGTCTATCCTATCACCAGAGCATCAGTGGATGATGATGGTTAGTAAAGGGTCTTTCTCTAAAATAGTGATAATTGGTTACTGACTGTTACAAGTGATGGGACAGACCCAACATATGGTGATCATTTCTACCTTTTGTGGTTGGCTTGATCAGATTTAATCGAAACTGCCACCTGCTGTTGGGAGGCCGCGTTCGTCCGTTTGATTCGTGGAAATTGAGTATGAAGTCCAAAGGCCTCAAGGATGGTCCTGGGGAAAGACATGGAAAGACCAAGTACTTTAGAACGGAATCTAGGCTTCAATCCGTTTTCCATATCTCCATATCCGGGATGCTGCTCAGTCCAGTTGGGCATCACCTCCGTGCGAAACACGGAGCCAGGTGCTTGTGACTGCGTCCTTGCTACTTGATTTCATCGGAGCGGTGCCAGGCCCAAAGGCCTGCAAAAAATAACAGAAAGGCCAGTGTCCACTCTAATTTTTGGGTGAGACAAACTGGACCATCTCTCGGGGCGCTCCGAGCTTTGAAGTCGCACGTTGCTGAAAGGCCCGAACTGCAATCCCATGCTGCTTTGAGCGTGCCACTTCGAAGCACAAGCATGCAAAAGCAGCTGGACAAGGTGCGAATGGAAGCGCCATGAGCACTTTCTTTTCGCTGCATACCATGGCCTGTCATGGCCTGTGTCAGACCTGCAGACGTTGCAGAGACGTAGCAAGCTAAACGAGAGAAACCATTTCAAAGATCCTGTTATGAAGGTAATCACTGATCAAAGGAGGCCCTTCAGGAGGCCGGCCCTTCCAGTATCCCCTCCAGCTTGCGACATGATGGCCGCAAAACACGTTGTAATTATATATACTTGCTTTGCACCCTTTGCTGTGGAGTTGGTCGAGTGGCTTGAGTGGCGCGGCTGCACGCAACAGAGGAAGGTTCAAGGTGTCTTTTGTCCATGTTGGCTTGCCTTCTTCCTTCTTTCAATCTGCAGCCGATCGAAGAGGACAAAAGACAAACCAGCATAGACACGCAGAACGCCTCGGGCCTCAATGATGCATTTCTGCAACCTTGTGGCTGTTATGGAACAGGCCTCAGCCACGCCGCTCTTTCACCATGAGGCTCCATTTCCTTCCCTTGGGCCAGAGCAGCTGGTGGGAGCGGCTGGGTCTTTGGAGGGAGACTTCCGTGACCGGCTTCGTACTCCTAAGTTTGGCTGAGCTGGGTTTTCTCCACCAATCCGTCACCGGCTTCAGGAATCCAAGGGGACCGTGCGACCTGCGTCGGGCCAAGGCGGGTCAAGCCACCTGCGGCCGCGCCAACTTTCCGAAGACAGGAAGCCGTGTTGCCCTGCCAGATGTGCAGGATTGTGCAGGTTGGTCCGGCGTGATCTGGCAAATCGTGCAGCCAAGTTGGCAAAGAACGGCGCCTTCTCATTCCTCCGCTCGATCAAGGAAGCAGCCCCACTGAGTGTAGAGGAGCATGACTTTCTTAAGGGTTTCAGTGCCTTGCAGTTCCCTGACAGCCCTGGAAATCCCAGTGGGGTGTCCATCAAGAGGGGGGTTCCATCATTTCATCAGACACTTTGGGCTAAACTATGCAATTGGAGAAGGGGTCCTGTGTTCGTTTTCAGGTGCAGTCGGCCGTGCAAACCAGGAACTTTTCGGGCCATGCGGGTGCCTATCGGGCAGAATTGCTCTGATGTGTTCCCGGGTCGGAGGTTCAATCCCACAGGATTATTCCTTCCACATGCCTGCCCTGTGCCTTGTGAGAGATGCTTTCTTGGCCCAGGAAGACCTTTGCCCGAGAAAGCCTACAAGTGCTAAGCGCTGCAAGACATTCGGGTTTTTGGGGGCCAGTGGCCGGTTTATGGGCCACTTGGACTGCGCAGATTCCGAGGGTGAAACGTTTCACTCTGAAACATGCTGTTTGTTTAGTTTTGTTTGTTGTATTTTGTTGAAGGATTGCAGGACATCACCTGTCCTGTCCTCCAACCCCTCCGCTTGACTCACCCTTCCTCGCCAGCCATTGGCTCCATGTGTTGTCCAGGACCGTTTTTACAGCTTCCTCTTCGGCAGTGGTCTCGCCGCGCCTCGCTCTTCCAAGCTGGAGCCCTTGGTGCTCAACCTTCCCAAAGCGCTCGAGATCCGGGTCGCCAATCCCATTCCGCAGGAGCCTTCCGCGCCCGACGTGTTCGTGGTGAACACCGTGGTGTGAACAGGTTTGCGCGGTGGGATCTGCGCGGAAAGGTGTTTCGGTTGGTTTGGAAGAACGACCCTTTTGACTTGGTCTTTTTCGCGCTTGGATGGAGGGTTCTCTTTTCGCTTGATTGGTTTTGGGTTGATGGGGTAGCTTGCCAATGCCCAACTCGGTGTATGTGTGGCACATGAGGGGGGTCTTGCCAAATGCTACCACACGTGACCCCTTTGAACACCCCAGCGTTTTCACATACACACATGGTGTGGCGCAGCAGCGGTTCCACCTTCATTGGCCCTGGTTCATCTCTCCGACCATTTTCTTCGCCATCTACGTCGACCTAAAACCTCCAACCTCCAGCAGTTGCCAAGATCATGAAACACCTTTCGCGGTAGTTTCTGCGTGGTCACCGGTGGATCTGCACAGAAAAACGTCCGTCCCGTTGTTCCACCGGTCTCCGCACATGGACGACTGGTCCGTGTCGACTGGGAGGACGTGAACTCTGCGACCGTGGCCTCCTACCAGTTCGGAGTTCCGAGCTTGAGCGACCGGCTGCGCTTCAGCTTGAGCCTTTTCAGTGCCAAGTGAGAAAAAACACACACACACACACATATATATATAGTTATATATATATACTTATATATGTATACATATTATATCCAGGAACAGACCTGGGGAGAGAGAGACCCGTGATTCTTGATTGGGTACCTAGATCCTTTTTGACGACCAGATGGGCATTTGTGTAAAGGGATCTCTTTCTGTGGGTCTCATTCTGACTTCTCAACCAGGCACCGAGCTTCAACCAATTTAAGCATGTTTTCTTTTTGAACAGAATCGACATCGAGCGAGCAAAGACCATGTTGACCAGATCATTTGAGGATCTCTCAGATTATCGACCGGCCAGTCTTCCAGACTCTACGCACCGAACAACAGCTGGGTTACGTGGTTTTCGGCTTCGCGGCGGTGCATGTGGATATCCTGGAGGCATTGACCGAAAAGTCGCCAGAGAGGCGTGTATGTTTTTGACCCGTTTTGGAATAAACCTTCCACAGTTGAAAAGTGGCGTCGTTCACTGAAGGAATAAATTGGTGGAAACTGTAGGGCTCATGGATGGGCTCATGGGCTCGTCTATGCCGGTCCTGGGGCGCATCGCTCGGTAGTGCCTTGGGATGGAGTTTCTTTTCGTCTTAACTTCTTTGTAAGGCCACTGACACTGTGCGAATTCGCTGAGCTCAAGCAGCTGTGCTTTCACAAGATCCCACCTACGTGGACCACCTGCAAGTCATCATTTTTTGGGGGACTGGTGTCTAGACTAGGTTTTCCTGCATTTTCCCACGAAGCTGAGGGCTTCAGCGGTAGTTCCACGTAGTTCGGCAGAACCAGGGATTGGAAGCTCCGAAGCTCATCGAACCTCTCATCGAACGCAGGTCCGTGTCTTAGTGCAGGGCTTCCAGGAGTCGCCGGATGTGGTCGAAGGCCCGGCAGTTCTTCTTCGCCGAGAATGCGTGGGGTGGGAGAAGTAGCGCGGCACAGCGTGGAAAGGAAGATGCCGAGAAAAAGGTTTGAACACACATCCATGGTGACGTCCTCACTCATCGGACAGGTGCGCGCGGAAGATCCGCGCCCCCTCTGCATCGTCGGACCCAGTGGCATGGAGAGACCGGGATGGAATTTCTGGAAGACTTCTCTGACATTTCTCCTCTTAGATGCGTGACGTCCATCAGCTTTCATAGTGTTGGGGAACGCACACCTAGGGAGGTATGTAGATTCGATCTTTTCACAAATCAACAAACAACATCTTCTTTTTCCAGGCCTCATCGAGAGCACTGTCTACAACCTCACCCACCTCTTTGAGGAGATGAGCGACGACGAGTTCCGCCAGCGCAAGGCTGGAGAGAGGTGCTTTCGTCTGTTCCCAGAGGCACTGGGAGCAATCCTGGTGGGAAGAAACTCATGATTCACCATTTGAAGGAATGAACCCCTAACACCTTCAGATACTTTAATATAGGTGATAAGTTTGCATCCCTTTATGCAACACCGTTTCCGCCTTCTATCGCTCTCCTAGATTTGGAGGAGAGCTTGGCGGTCAGTCTGCGGACGCCGCCAGCGAACCTGGGAGAGTTGGCCGGACGCGTGTGGCCGCAAATCTGGGATGAGACCTACTGCTTCGACAAAAACGCCAAGGACCAGGGGTGACACTGGGACCCTTTCGATGAGTGCGAGGGGGATTCCCAGGGTCGGAACAAATTTCGGTCATGGGTATATAGGGTGAGGAAGTTGAGCAATAAGCGTGAAACCCTTTTCTAATTTTTGCTAGGCAGTGCATCTCCTCCCTGAATACTTTCAGGAACATCCTAGCTGGTCGGTCTTTCCCAAAAGCTCTTTGCACGGAGCACATGCTGGCCAATTAACTTGATGGTGTTGGGGCACAATGCTGTCTTGATATCTGCTTGCATACGCCTGGAAGCTAGTCAGCTAGTCTTCCAAAGGTCTGCCCATCCGACGCGCCATATGAGAAAGGAGAAAACTCCGAATCAGCGACCAGCGGTCCGAATCAGTCACCACGAATCAGCGACCAGATTTCGCGAATCAGCGACCAGCTTTGCCGAATCAGCGACCACGGAATCAGCGACCAGCGGTCCGAATCAGCAACCACGAATCAGCGACTAGGAATCAGCGACCAGATTTCGCGAATCAGCGGCCAGCTTTTCCGAATCAGCGACCAAGGAATCAGCGACCAGGGGTTCGAATCAGGGACCAGCGGTCCGAATCAGGGACCACGAGTCAGTGACCAGACTTCGCAAAGTGCTGCGACTGTCACGAAATCTGCATGTGGAGGTTCACCAAGTGCTGCGCCTGCCACGAAATCTGCACGTGGAGGTTCACAAAGTGCTGTGCCTGCCACGAAATGTGCACTGCAAGGCAAGGTTCATAAAGGGCTGTGCCTGTCACGAAATCCGCGCCTGGACGTTCACAAAGTGCTGCGCCTGCTAGGAAATCTGCACTTCGGGGTTCACAAAGTGCTGCGCCTGCCACGAACTTTGCACATCAAGGTTCTCCAAGTGCTGTGCCTGCTACGAACTCTGCACTTCGAGGTTCACCAAGTGCTGCACCTGCCACGAAATCTGCACATCGAGGGTCACAGAGTGCTGTGTCTCCTTTTTTTGGGGGGGGATGAATTGGGCAAACTCTGTGCAGAGCACAACAACAAATAGAGCATGGCGCTTCCGATGATAAAAGTGCCTTGATCCCGCGTTGAAAAGCGCTGAAAACGACGTAAACATGTTTTTTCCTTCCTTAATTTGCCTCACCTTCACCTTCCTTCGGACAAAAATGGCAGCGAACTGGGGCTGGCGGGAAGGAACCGCCGTGCGCAATGAAATGAGCAGCTGAGGTTTTGTGTAGTATTGGAACCATTGCTTCCAGGTTGGAGGCCATTGCATCAAAAGGCTTACGTGTTCAATTTGCGTCACTAAGCCCCTGCTCTGCGAACTGCCCGCCTATGCAATCAAACTGCTCCACCCTTCGAACAACCACATTGAAAAAGGTGCAAAGAGAGGACTACTTTGCAGTTGGATGCATTTTTGGTGCAATCAGTGCAAACAGCGCAGCGCTTTCTCTGAGTTCTGCTTGTGTTCAGGAGGGTCGCATTACAGTGGATGGTGTGGACATCAGCAAAATCGGTTTGCACGATCTTCGAGAGAAGGCACTTTGATGCGCTTTGTACGTTTTCATGGTCAAATGGCCCAGACACATTATGAAGCATTCGCAATTTACAATATTGGATTGACTTCACTTCAGCAGGTTTGGTCTGTCTCTCAGAACCCTGGTAGGGATGAAGGCAAACACCTGGGAGTGTCAGTGGATAAGTGGCACCAATGCACACACTTTTAAAATTAGTTACTTGCCTGACCAACCCCACCACCTGACCCACCCACACCCTGCACTGGCAGCGCTCAAGACAAGCATGTAGGCCCCAGCTCTGTAGGCAGACTGCACTGGTGCCCCTGCAGGAGCAACTACCAACACCTTGCTGGTTGCCAGTTGAGTGACACTCAACTCACCAGATGTCCTGAGAGGGCAATGATATGATATATATATATATTATATGACAAGGCTTTGTACAACCCCAACCACTGTTCTGAACAGTTGGAGCCATTTACATTGATTGAACTTCCAACCAACATTCTCAGCAAGGAACAGTGTTCAATGGGGCCCTTCCCAGAGTAGTTTGGCCAATCGGCCCAGTGCTTGCTAGCAGATCAGTAGGGAGCCCTATGTCTGACATTTCAACTGCCGGCTTTGCTTTCGCAACTGAGTAGATAGCCAGTTCCCATGGCTGCCTCCCAAGAGGTGGTCACGGTGTGGTACAGTGTACAGTTCTCTAGGCCTAGGAATAGCGGTGTTTCACCGTTTCACGTAGTTTATGGGGCTTGCATGCTTACCTGGCACTTGGTGCCTTCGGGTAGCCAAGAGAAGACGCAGAACCTGCAGCGGCTTGCCTGCTGAGCCATGCTTGCACTACTCTTCGAGTGTAGTGCGCTTAAGTAGCTGCTGATTAACAGAGCCGTGCCGCGCCGAAATGCAACAGCAGTTCCTGCCTGTCTTTTTGGAACTGCGGTCTTCGTGCACGCTCTCACTCCCTCCCCCTTCGGGGGGGGGGGGTGGGTATCTTCGCTGCTGCACCTCCAACTCTACTCCAAGCCACTGCTTGCCCACTGCAGGTCTTTTGCCATCTCTCATTATTTTTCAATTCTGCATGCATGTCTGCATGCTCGTCCAACGATCTCGCAGAGCCTGGTCCCTCTCAATCTGGGATTGGGGCTGAGACTACAGTGCTTGGTCAACCTATCAATTCGATTTCCTGGAAAGTCTGGATTAGAGGTGACCCCAAAGTCAGAGGTCATTTGCCTACCTCAATCCTCTCGACCTGACGCAAACCCTACGTCATGCTAAAACTCCAGATAAGGCAACAGCAAGCTGGAATTTTGTGCAGCAGATCGAGGATCTTTCGTGACAGAGCTGGCCAATCAGGAACAAACAAAAGCTGACATAGGCGATGTCGTACTCTTGGACAAAAGTTTCGACTTGCCTGGCTCCAGAGCTGGCTTGGAAAGTACCTCACACCTGCGTCCAGGCTTGTTTATCGACGACCAAGCGGCCGCACAGTGATCGTTGCAAAACCCGTTGCCTCATTCACAACCTTGTATGGGGGTTGCCTCAATGCAAAACCTTCAGCTGGGGGTGGAGGAGCAGCAGCAGGCTGATTTGATGGAGCAGCAGGCTCATCCCTTGGTTGTGGCTGTCAGCACTCACACCATCTCAGCACCATCTCAGCAAGGGCCATCAAAATACATAATATGCACCATAAACACCAACTGTCCACCAGCCTGGGTTCTCACTATGTCAGAGGCCAAGCTGCTTTTTCTTCCACAAGCTCTGCCACCCCAGAGCATTGGCAACTTCAGTGATATTGCTGAGGTCAGCCTAAGCAGTTCAAGGCATAAGCTATGGTTCTTACATGGAATCATTGTCACCAATTATAATAGCTGCATCATACACATCCATGTCCAAACAAAAGCACTGCACTCTTGCTCCAAGGGCAGTTTGTTGGTTTGGTTTCATGCCATTTGTTTTGAAAGCACTCAAGCACACACAGGTTGGCTAAGAGTTTTGCAGTAATCTTGCTGCCCCTTTCAAAACCTGCTTGCTTCTGTGTTCTTGTGTCCTGCTTTCCATCACCACTGCTTTCCTTGATTGCCACTCACAAACTTCAAACATTCCCTTCTTTGACTAGTGGTGGTGGACATAGCTTGTTGTCATTGCACCTTTTCATGGCATTAAATAAGGTGCTGATGAGTGCAACCTGGGTTCAGCTGCCCCCTGTTCCTGGCCAGGAGGCCCTTGATGGATGTCAAAGGCCCCAAGTTGGTCTCCACAAAAATCAGCATGTCAACCTCCTTCTCCTGAAGCCCAGAGATATTGCCTTGGTGGCAGTGTGTGTGTGCGAGATTCTGGTTCTGTCTGGGCTTGAGAAATGTCAAGTGTGTGGCTTTGAAACTGAACTGAACCCACCTATTTGACCTCAGGGTCTGGACTGGGTACCATGGATCAAGCCAAGCTACAAGATGGATACTTCCCACTGTTCATGGCACCCAACCATCTCACTTTATATTTTCTTGGGGCCACATTCTTCTTGTTGCCTCCAGTTGCCTTCCCATAATTGGCACCCAGGTGCACCCAGTGCCTGCCAACACAAATTTGGAGGCGCCCCACACATCATTGCTCAGTTACAGCACACCTTGCATGCCTGGCCTTGGGATTTTTTTCTGGTCCAAGGTTTCCTCTTCCACATCTGCTGAGGTAGACTCTGAAGAGGAATCTGAGCCTGAGATGATAGGCTGGCTGGTACAAATCCCAACTGTAACAAACTTGCATAGTTGAGTATCCTTGCTTACTTCTTTTGATGCCATCTCATTCATGTTAGTTGCCTCAAATGGACACTGAGCTCCAACAAATCTTGCTCACCTTTTAGAAGCCTTATTTTTACTAAGATGAATCATTCAAGTTTATTGACTCTAAATTCACCCCACCCAAACTTATGTATAATTAATGAATAACTTATTGTCACATCAAATGTCAAACTCAATTAAACTTGTTTGCCTGTCTTTGTTTTCTTGCCCTTATAGTATAACCAACTAAATGATTTTATGCGTAGGTATGCACAATGAAATGTCATGTCAACAGGGGGTCTTTCTTTTTACCTTTCATTGATTATTATTGAACTTATTGACCAACAAACTTTAATGAAATGTCAAGCAGCCACTGTCTTTCTTTTTGCCTTTCTTTGCTTTCTTTGCTTTCTTGGCCTTGGATCCTTTGGATTTCCTCTTTTTTCTTGTCCTTCTTGTCCCTGTCATTCCTTAGACTTGCACTTGCCCAAGGTCCAAAAGCAGTTTCAAGGCCTTGCACCCCAAGACTCCCAATTGCTCACACTGGGATCTATCCCTAGCCAAAGGAGTGAGTTGTCACCCAAGGCCTTGCAAAACACAACTTTAAGCAGGCTTGCAAACCATCATCAAAAGACCAAGACTCGAGCTACTGGATTCATCCTCATCTTCCTCCTCTTCTTCATCTGGGGGTGGAGCACCCATCCAGGAAGGTCCACCCCAAGGCCCACCACC